TGTGTCCATGTCTCTATGTGTGTGTGTCCATGTCTGTGTGTGTGTGTTCACGATGGGCGTGTCTCTGTGTGTCCATGTCTCTGTGTGTGTGTTCACGATGGCCGTGTCTATGTGTGTCTATGTCTCTGTGTGTCCATGTCTCTGTGTGTGTGTTCACGATGACCGTGTCTCTGTGTGTCCATGTCTCTGTGTGTGTGTGTTCACGATGGCCGTGTCTGTACGTGTCTATGTCTCTGTGTGTCCATGTCTCTGTGTGTGTGTGTCCATGTCTCTGTGTGTGTGTGTCCATGTCTCTGTGTGTGTGTTCACAATGGCCGTGTTTATATGTGTCCATGTCTCTGTGTGTGTGTCCATGTCTATGTGTGTGTGTTCACGATGACCGTGTCTCTGTGTGTCCATGTCTGTGTGTGTTCACGATGGGCGTGTCTATGTGTGTCCATGTCTCTGTGTGTGTGTGTTCACGATGACCATGTCTATGTGTGTCCATGTCTCTATGTGTGTGTGTTCACGATGGCTGTGTCTCTGTGTGTCCATGTCTCTGTGTGTGTGTCCATGTCTGTGTGTGTGTGTGTTGACAATGACCGTGTCTATGTGTGTCCATGTCTCCATGTCTCTGTGTGTGTGTGTCCATGTCTGTGTGTGTGTGTTCACGATGGCCGTGTCTCCATGTGTCCATGTCTCTGTGTGTGTGTGTGTTCACGATGGGCGTGTCTATGTGTGTCCATGTCTGTGTGTGTGTGTGTGTCCATGTCTGTGTGTGTTCACGATGGCCGTGTCTATGTGTGTCCATGTCTGTGTGTGTGTGTCCATGTCTGTGTGTGTTCACGATGGCCGTGTCTATGTGTGTCCATGTCTCTGTGTGTGTGTGTCCATGTCTGTGTGTGTGTGTTCACGATGACCATGTCTATGTGTGTCCATGTCTGTGTGTGTGTGTGTTCACGATGACCATGTCTATGTGTGTCCATGTCTCTGTGTGTTCACGATGGGCGTGTCTATGTGTGTCCATGTCTGTGTGTGTGTGTCCATGTCTGTGTGTGTGTTCACGATGACCATGTCTATGTGTGTCCATGTCTCTGTGTGTGTGTCCATGTCTGTGTGTGTTCACGATGACCGTGTCTATGTGTGTCCATGTCTCTGTGTGTGTGTCCATGTCTGTGTGTGTTCACGATGGCCGTGTCTATGTGTGTCCATGTCTCTGTGTGTGTGTGTCCATGTCTGTGTGTGTGTGTTCACGATGGCCGTGTCTATGTGTGTCCATGTCTCTATGTGTGTGTGTTCACGATGGCCGTGTCTGTACGTGTCCATGTCTCTGTGTGTGTGTGTCCATGTCTGTGTGTGTGTGTTCACGATGGTCGTGTCTCTGTGTGTCCATGTCTCTATGTGTGTGTGTTCACGATGGCTGTGTCTATGTGTGTCCATGTCTGTTTGTGTGTGTCCATGTCTGTGTGTCTGTGCGTGTCCATGTCTCCAAGTGTCCTTGTCTCTGTGTGTGTGTTCACGATGGCCGTGTCTCTGTGTGTCCATGTCTCTATGTGTGTGTGTTCACGATGGCCGTGTCTCCGTGTGTCCATGTCTCTGTGTGTGTGTGTCCATGTCTGTGTGTGTGTGTTCACGATGGGCGTGTCTCTGTGTGTCCATGTCTCTGTGTGTGTGTTCACGATGGCCGTGTCTATGTGTGTCTATGTCTCTGTGTGTCCATGTCTCTGTGTGTGTGTTCACGATGACCGTGTCTCTGTGTGTCCATGTCTCTGTGTGTGTGTGTTCACGATGGCCGTGTCTGTACGTGTCTATGTCTCTGTGTGTCCATGTCTCTGTGTGTGTGTGTCCATGTCTCTGTGTGTGTGTTCACAATGGCCGTGTTTATATGTGTCCATGTCTCTGTGTGTGTGTCCATGTCTATGTGTGTGTGTTCACGATGACCGTGTCTCTGTGTGTCCATGTCTGTGTGTGTTCACGATGGGCGTGTCTATGTGTGTCCATGTCTCTGTGTGTGTGTGTTCACGATGACCATGTCTATGTGTGTCCATGTCTCTGTGTGTGTGTCCATGTCTGTGTGTGTGTGTGTTGACAATGACCGTGTCTATGTGTGTCCATGTCTCCATGTCTCTGTGTGTGTGTGTCCATGTCTGTGTGTGTGTGTTCACGATGGCCGTGTCTCCATGTGTCCATGTCTCTGTGTGTGTGTGTTCACGATGGGCGTGTCTATGTGTGTCCATGTCTGTGTGTGTGTGTGTCCATGTCTGTGTGTGTTCACGATGGCCGTGTCTATGTGTGTCCATGTCTGTGTGTGTGTGTCCATGTCTGTGTGTGTTCACGATGGCCGTGTCTATGTGTGTCCATGTCTCTGTGTGTGTGTCCATGTCTGTGTGTGTGTGTTCACGATGACCATGTCTATGTGTGTCCATGTCTGTGTGTGTGTGTGTTCACGATGACCATGTCTATGTGTGTCCATGTCTCTGTGTGTTCACGATGGGCGTGTCTATGTGTGTCCATGTCTGTGTGTGTGTGTGTGTCCATGTCTGTGTGTGTGTTCACGATGACCATGTCTATGTGTGTCCATGTCTCTGTGTGTGTGTCCATGTCTGTGTGTGTTCACGATGGCCGTGTCTATGTGTGTCCATGTCTCTGTGTGTGTGTGTCCATGTCTGTGTGTGTGTTCACGATGGTCGTGTCTCTGTGTGTCCATGTCTCTATGTGTGTGTGTTCACGATGGCTGTGTCTATGTGTGTCCATGTCTGTGTGTGTGTGTCCATGTCTGTGTGTCTGTGCGTGTCCATGTCTCCAAGTGTCCTTGTCTCTGTGTGTGTGTTCACGATGGCCGTGTCTCTGTGTGTCCATGTCTCTATGTGTGTGTGTTCACGATGGCCGTGTCTCCGTGTGTCCATGTCTCTATGTGTGTGTGTCCATGTCTGTGTGTGTGTGTTCACGATGGGCGTGTCTCTGTGTGTCCATGTCTCTGTGTGTGTGTTCACGATGGCCGTGTCTATGTGTGTCTATGTCTCTGTGTGTGTGTCCATGTCTGTGTGTGTTCACGATGGCCGTGTCTATGTGTGTCCATGTCTCTGTGTGTGTGTGTCCATGTCTGTGTGTGTGTGTTCACGATGGCCGTGTCTATGTGTGTCCATGTCTCTGTGTGTGTGTGTTCACGATGGTCGTGTCTCTGTGTGTCCATGTCTCTGTGTGTGTGTGTTCACGATGACCGTGTCTATGTGTGTCCATGTCTCTATGTGTGTGTGTTCACGATGGCCGTGTCTATGTGTGTCCATGTCTCTGTGTGTGTGTCCATGTCTGTGTGTGTGTGTTCGCGATGGCCGTGTCTATGTGTGTCCATGTGTCTATGTGTGTGTGTTCACGATGGCCGTGTCTATGTGTGTCCATGTCTCTGTGTGTGTGTCCATGTCTGTGTGTGTGTGCACGATGGCCGTGTCTCTATGTGTCCATGTCTCTGTGTGTGTGTGTTCACGATGGCTGTGTCTATGTGTGTCCATGTCTCTGTGTGTGTGTGTTCACGATGACCGTGTCTCTATGTGTCCATGTCTGTGTGTGTGTTCACGATGGCTGTGTCTCTGTGTGTCCATGTCTGTGTGTGTGTGTGTGTCCATGTCTGTGTGTGTGTGTTGACAATGACCGTGTCTATGTGTGTCCATGTCTCCATGTCTCTGTTTGTGTGTGTTCACGATGACCATGTCTATGTGTGTCCATGTCTCTGTGTGTGTGTGTGCACGATGGCCGTGTCTCCATGTCTCCGTGTGTGTTGACAATGACCGTGTCTATGTGTGTCCATGTCTCCATGTGTCCATGTCTCAATGTGTGTGTGTGTGTTCACGATGGGCGTGTCTATGTGTGTCCATGTCTCTGTGTGTGTCCATGTCTGTGTGTGTGTGTTCACGATGACCGTGTCTCTGTGTGTCCATGTCTGTGTGTGTGTGTGTGCACGATGGCTGTGTCTGTGCGTGTCCATGTCTCCATGTCTCCGTGTGTGTTCACGATGGTCGTGTCTCTGTGTGTCCATGTCTCTGTGTGTGTGTGTTCACGATGGTCGTGTCTCTGTGTGTCCATGTCTCTGTGTGTGTGTTCACGATGGCTGTGTCTCTGTGTGTCCATGTCTCTGTGTGTGTGTTCACGATGGCTGTGTCTCTGTGTGTCCATGTCTCTGTGTGTGTGTGTTCACGATGGCTGTGTCTCTGTGTGTCCATGTCTCTGTGTGTGTGTGTTCACGATGGGCGTGTCTATGTGTGTCCATGTCTCCGTGTGTCCATGTCTGTGTGTGTGCACGATGGCCGTGTCTGTGCGTGTCCATGTCTCTGTGTGTGTGTGTGTGTTCACGATGGCCGTGTCTATGTGTGTCCATGTCTCTGTGTGTGTGTGTTCACGATGGCCGTGTCTCTGTGTGTCCATGTCTCTGTGTGTCCATGTCTCTGTGTGTGTGTGTTCACAGTGGCCGTGTCTCCATGTCTCCATGTCTCTACGTGTGTGTGTATCCATGTCTGTGTGTGTTCACGATGGCTGTGTCTCCATGCATCCAAGTCTCTGTGTGTGTGTGTTCACAATGGCTGTGTCTCAATGTCTCCATGTGTACATGTCTCTATGTGTGTATGTCCATGTCTGTGTGTGTTCACGATGGCCGTGTCTCCATGTCTCTGTGTGCGTGTGTTCACAATGGCCGTGTCTCTGTGTCTCTGTGTGTGTGTTCACAATGGCTGTGTCTCCGTGTCTCCATGCCTCCATGTGTCCATGTCTCTATGTGTGTGTGTGTCCATGTCTGTGTGTGTTCACGATGGCCGTGTCTCCATGTCTCTGTGTGTGTGTGTTCACAATGGCCGTGTCTCTGTGTGTGTGTTCACAATGGCTGTCTCCGTGTCTCCATGTCTCCATGTGTCCATGTCTCTATGTGTGTGTTCACGATGGCTGTGTCTCCGTGTCTCCATGTCTCCATGACTCTCTGTTTCCGCGTGACCACCGCGTGACCTCCGTGTCTCTCCGCGTGTCTCTCCGCGCAGTGACGCTGGTAGGGGGCGTGGTCTTCCTCCTCTTCGCTGTCTCCTCCCTCTTCATCAGCCCGGAGACCGCCTCCTGAGCCCTGCACCGGGCTCCTTGCAACGCTCACCCCTCGCTCACCCACCGCTCGCTCACCCGCTCACTCGCTCACCCGCTCACTCGCTCACCCACTCACTCGCTCACCCACTCACTCAGCCGCTCATTCACTCATCCGCTCGCTCACCCGCTCACTCGCTGACCCACTCAGCCACTAATTCACTCACCCGCTCACTCGCTCACCCACCGCTCGCTCACTCACCCGCTCACCCATCCACTCGCTTACCAACCTATCCACTCACTCACTGACCACCACCACTCCCATCACGATCTTCAATTATTTAAATGTTTTGTTAGCTAACGTTACGGTGACATGGTCGGTTTTCATTTCTGTCTGAGTCGACCTAGGGGTGGCTCAGACTCTGTGGTGATGATGGTGATGATGGTGGTTATCGTGGTGGTGGTTGTGGTGCTGGTGGTTGTTGGTGATGTTGGTGGTGGTTGTGGTTATGGTGGTGGAAGTGATGATGGTTGTAGTGGTGGTGGTGGTTGTGTTGATTGTGGTGATCGTGGTTGTGGTGGTTGTGGTGTTGGTGGTAGTGGTTGTGGTGATGGTGGTTATGGTAGTGGTGGTGGTGATTATGGTAGTGGTGGTTATGGTAGTGGTGGTGGTGGTGGTTATGGTAGTGGTGGTGGTGGTGGTGATGGTTGTGGTGATGGTGATGGTTGTGGTTATGGTGGTGGTGGTTATGGTTGTGGTGGTTATGGTAGTGGTGGTTATGGTAGTGGTGGTTATGGTAGTGGTGGTGGTTATGGTAGTGGTGGTGGTAGTGATGGTCGTAGTGGTGATGGTGGTGGTTATGGTAGTAGTGGTGGTGGTGGTTATGGTAGTGGTGGTGATTATGGTAGTGGTGGTGGTGGTGGTGGTTTTGGTAGTGGTTATAATGGTGGTTATGGTAGTGGTGGTGGTTATGGTAGTAGTGGTGGTGGTGGTTGTTCAGGGTTGGAGTGTGTTCCGCGCATTCTCTGGTGCTCAGGGTGAGGGCAGTCACCACCCTCAACCATCCTCACCACCACCAAACTCACCACCACTAAGTGGCGGTGACGTCTCCACGGCGTCTGTGCCAGGTTAGGTGCACTTTGAGGCCACGTGAAGTGTCGAAGCCTCGCTGCTGACAGAAGGTCACGGGACAGACCCAGCAGGTGCCATGGGTTGTACTGCTGTGCCAGGCTAGGTGCATGAGGACGAGGTCACGGGACAGACCCAGCAGGTGCCATGGGTTGTACTGCTGTGCCAGGCTAGGTGCATGAGGACGAGGTCACGGGACAGACCCAGCAGGTGCCATGGGTTGTACTGCTGTAACAGGCTAGGTGCAGGAGGAGGTCACGGGACAGACCCAGCAGGTGCCATGGGTTGACTGCTGTGCCAGGCTAGGTGCATAAGGAGGAGGTCACGGGACAGACCCAGCAGGTGCCATGGGTTAACTGCTGTGCCAGGCTAGGTGCATGAGGAGGTCACGGGACAGAACCAGCAGGTGCCATGGGTTGGCCGAGTGAGATGACTGGCAAATCCACCACCACCTGTGCCCCCTACTGTGCCAACTTGCTGCGTTTTAGCCGCCCGGCGCTCCGCTCGTTGTTGTGAGCGTCGCTCCTCCGCCCTCCGTTGTTGTTGGAGGGCGACTGCCTCCAACTGCCCAGTAGCAGCGTCCTTCACGAGCCTCCTCCACAGAGGTCGATCTTGACACCGCTGGTACCAGTCATCGGCAAGTCCACTCAGCTCCACGTCCTCCAGTACCACATCACTCCATCTCTTCTCTAGCCCGTGCCCTGCCTATTTAGCCCCCTCTATGGGGCCAAACAAAAGCTGTTTAGGGCTACATGGCCCAGCCAATGCAGTCTTGCCTGCCGGAGAAGCTCACGAGTGGGAATGTGTCCAGATATTTTGAGGATTTGTGAAGATCTCGCACAATCCAGTCCTGTTAAACCCAGGATGGATTGTAATTCAGCCTGAATGTTTCTAACCGGCGCAGATGTTCCATTAGAAGGGTCCACGTTTCGCAAGCGTAGAGAAGGGAGGGAATGACCGTGGCCGAGAAGACCTGAAGCTAAGTGCGGAGCGACAGACCAGGTAGCTTCCACACAGCGTTACGCAACCGATGAAAAGATATTGCCGCTCGACTGATTCGGAGTTAGACCTCTGCTGTTAAACTGGAGCCGGTCATAAGCACACTGCCCAGGTATGGGAAACTCTCCACTCTCTCCACAACTGCCCCATCACCGATTGGGAGTTGTGGGGGTGGAGTGTCCGATGGTACTAAAATAGCCAGGCAGGTGCTTAGTTTTGGTGGGGCTGAAAGTAAGGCCCCACCTCTTAGTGGCACGCTCCAGTCTCGGCAGCAGCGTCTCCAACTCCTCCTCTGAATGAGCAGCTATTACCAAGTCATCGGCATACATAACGTGGTTGACCAATAGGGAGCCATCCCTTGACCGCACCCGGGCATCGATCAGCCTCCCATTGTATCTGTACCAGATTGAAATTCCTCCGGTACAGCAATTGAAGGCTTCACGAACTACATGGTCGAAATAGATGTTAAATAATGTGGGAGCCAGAGGACATCCCTGTCGCACCCCAAGGTGAACAGGGAATGGCACCGACTCCCGGCCACGTAATTTTACCATCGTGAAGGTCCTTAATGGTCGTGAGCAGAGGGTCAGGGACTCTGAGAGCACGAAGAACAACCCAGAGCCCAGGCCTACTAATGGTGTCATAGGCCTTGGCCAGGTCAATAAAGCAGAGATGTAGGTCTTGTTGGAATCCCCCTGCTGTAGCTGAGGTGTAGGGAATTGAACACCATCATCACCACCCTCACCATCATCACCACCACCACCACCCTTACCACCACGCGTGTAAATTAAAAATAAAAAAATTGGCTTTGTGCTGTGCTTGGAAATCATCTCGTATGTTCAATCAGTCACTGTCCCCAGTAGCCTCAGGGTGCACCTAGCCTGGCACTGTCCCCAGTAGCCTCAAGGTGCACCTAGCCTGGCACCAGTAGCCTCAGGGTGCACCTAGCCTGGCACTGACCCCAGTAGCCTCAAGGTGCACCTAGCCTGGCACCAGTAACCTCAAGGTGCACCTAGCCTGGCACTGACCCCCAGTAGCCTCAAGGTGCACCTAGCCTGGCACCAGTCACCTCAGGGTGCACCTAGCCTGGCATTGACCCCAGTAGCCTCAAGGTGCACCTAGCCTGGCACTGACCCCCAGTAGCCTCAAGGTGCACCTAGCCTGGCACCAGTAGCCTCAAGGTGCACCTAGCCTGGCACCAGTCACCTCAAGGTGCACCTAGCCTGGCACCAGTAGCCTCAAAGTGCACCTAGCCTGGAACCAGTCACCTCAAGGTGCACCTAGCCTGGCACCAGTCACCTCGAGGTGCACCTAGCCTGGCACTGTCCCCAGTAGCCTCAAGGTGCACCTAGCCTGGCACCAGTCACCTCAGGGTGCACCTAGCCTGGCACTGACCCCAGTAGCCTCAGGGTGCACCTAGCCTGGCACCGGTAGACTCAAGGTGCACCTAGCCTGGCACCAGTAGCCTCAAGGTGCACCTAGCCTGGCACTGTACTCCAGTCACCTCAAGGTACACCTAGCCTGGCACCAGTAGCCTCAATGTGCACCTAGCCTGGCACTGTCCCCAGTAGCCTCAGGGTGCACCTAGCCTGGCACCAGTCACCTCAAGGTGCACCTAGCCTGGCACCAGTAGCCTCAAGGTGCACCTAGCCTGGCACCAGTAGCCTCAAGGTGCACCTAGCCTGGCACCAGTCACCTCAGGGTGCACCTAGCCTGGCACTGTCCCCAGTAGCCTCAGGGTGCACCTAGCCTGGCACTGGTAGCCTCAAGGTGCACCTAGCCTGGCACCAGTCACCTCAGGGTGCACCTAGCCTGGCACCGGTAGCCTCAAGGTGCACCTAGCCTGGCACCAGTCACCTCAAGGTGCACCTAGCCTGGCACCAGTAGCCTCAAGGTGCACCTAGCCTGGCACTGACCCCAGTCACCTCAGGGTGCACCTAGCCTGGCACCAGTCACCTCAAGGTGCACCTAGCCTGGCACTGTCCCCAGTAGCCTCAGGGTGCACCTAGCCTGGCACTGGTAGCCTCAAGGTGCACCTAGCCTGGCACCAGTCACCTCAAGGTGCACCTAGCCTGGCACCAGTCACCTCAAAGTACACCTAGCCTGGCACCAGTCACCTCAAAGTGCACCTAGCCTGGCACCAGTAGACTCAAGGTGCACCTAGCCTGGCACCAGTCACCTCAAGGTGCACCTAGCCTGGCACTGGTAGCCTCAAGGTGCACCTAGCCTGGCACCAGTCACCTCGAGGTGCACCTAGCCTGGCACTGTCCCCAGTCACCTCAGGGTGCACCTAGCCTGGCACCAGTCACCTCAAAGTGCACCTAGCCTGGCACTGACCCCAGTCACCTCAAGGTGCACCTAGCCTGGCACTGTACTCCAGTCACCTCAAGGTGCACCTAGCCTGGCACTGTACTCCAGTCACCTCAAGGTGCACCTAGCCTGGCACCAGTAGCCTCAAGGTGCACCTAGCCTGGCACTGACCCCAGCAGCCTCAGGGTGCACACAGAGAGGGAGGCACCGCGGCGATTTGACGCCCCCCCCCTCGTGGTTGATTTCCTTCCGCCCCCAGCGGCGTCGCCGTCAAATCGCCGCGGCCCCTCCACAGCGGCGTCATCGCCAAGGCGGAAATCGGAGCGAGCGGTCGAGGTGGTGGAGATCTGTCAAGAAAAACAACAACAGCTACAACTACAGCCACAACTACAACTACAGCCACAACTACAACTACAGCCACAACAACAACTACTACAGCTACAACCACAGCCACAACTACAACCACAGCCACAACAACTACAGCTACAACCACAGCTACAACCACAGCTACAGCCACAACTACACCTACAACCACAGCTACAGCCACAACTACAACCACAGCCACAACAACTACAGCCACAACAACAACTACTACAGCTACAGCCACAACTACAACCACAGCCACAACAACTACAGCTACAACCACAGCCACAACTACAGCCACAACAGCTACAGCCACAACAACAACAGCCACAACAACTACAGTCACAACCACAGCCACAACAGCTACAACCACAACCACAGCTACAACCACAGCTACAGCCACAACAACAGCCACAACCACAGCTACAGCCACAACTACAGCCACAACAACAGCTACTACAGTCACAGCTACAGCCACAACCACCGCCACCACCTCAGCCACCACATCAACAACAACCTCCTCTTCGTACCCAACAACAACAACAACCAAGATTTGTTGTTTTAAATCTTCTATGGATTGACAAACTCGTGCGAAAGAAGATCCACAGTAGGTACCCACCACCACAACAACAACCCACTACCACAACAACCACAACAACCACTACAACAACCACCACAACAACCACGCACTACCACAACCCACCACAACAACCACAACAACCACCCACTACCACAACCACCCACTACCACATCCACCACAACAACAACCACCCACTACCACAACCCACTACCATCACCACCCACCACAACAACCACCCACTACCACCCACCACAACAACCACCCACTACCACAACCTACCACATCCACAACAACAACCACCCACTACCACCACCCACAACAACAACCACCCACTACCACAACCACCCACTACCACAACCACCACAACAACAACCACCCACTACCACCACCCACCACAACAACCACCCACTACCACCACCCACCACAACAACCACCCACTACCACATCCACCACAACAACAACCACCCACTACCCACAACAACAACCACCCACTACCACAACCACCCACTACCACAACCACCACAACAACAACCACCCACTACCACCACCCACCACAACAACCACCCACTACCACCACCCACCACAACAACCACCCACTACCACATCCACCACAACAACAACCACCCACTACCCACAACAACAACCACCCACTACCACAACCACCCACTACCACAACAACAACCACCCACTACCACCACCCACCACAACAACCACCCACTTCCACCACCACCCACCACAACAACCACCCACTACCACAACCACCACTACCATCACTAGTACCACCAATACCATCACTACCATCACTAGTACCATCACTACCATCACTAGTACCATCACTACCATCACTACCACCACTAATATCACTACCATCACTAGTACCATCACTAGTACACTTCACTACTAGTAGTGTATAGTGTAGTGTATAGTAGTGTAGTGTATACTCGTGTAGTCTATAGTGTAGTGTATAGTAGTGTAGTGTACAGTAATGTAGTGTATAGTAGTGTAGTGTATAGTAGTGTAGTGTATAGTAGTGTAGTGTATAGTAGTGTAGTGTATTGTAGTGTAGCAGAAACAGTTACAGTCGCAGCAACGGATCCAGCTACAGCAGCTGCTACAGCAACTTCTACAGCAGCAGCTACAAGTATAGATATTTTTTCTTTTCCGCTTGTGTGTTAATCTGTGTTTACCCCGGATATTTTAGAGATGGCATTTCTCCTGCTGTGTATCCTACTGCTGTGCCTCCCGGCCATATCTAGGTGCCATACCCAACTCGACAAACAGCTACCCTCGTTACTTTGCGTCCATACTTGTTGCTCGATTTGCCACTCCACCTGCAAATGAAACGGCTCGTAGACACTTCTACACTCCATCATTGTATCTTTTTAAACCCTATCTTTGTCCCATTACTTCACCAGCACTCCTACCAAACTTCATTCTGCTCTTAAAAATAACGCCATCTGCGAGCTGCTGCTATTCGTCCAAGGTTCGCCGCTCTTCATCCTTTCACAGAAAATACTTGTGCAAACTATTAATTCTACTTTTCTTATTTCTGGGTGGTATTGAGCTTCATCCTGGCCCAAATGAAGAGAACTCGTATAATTCTGTAGATTTTTCTGGCAGGAAAGGTGTTGGTGTTCTACATGTCAACATCAGAGGGCTTGTGACTAAATTAAGTCAACTAAAACTAGATGTGGCAAATCTTGACCCGAACATTTTTTGCCTAACAGAAACATTTCTCACTCCTGCCGTCAATGACTTGCAGATTACGATTGACAACTGCAACCTTTTTCGGCTTGACCGAGGATCTAAAGGAGGTGGAATTGCCATCTATGTTCGTAATACTATTGCATGTTCACCAGCTCACTCCTTGTTTAAAAAATGTTGCTTTGAAGGTTTAGCTCTCAGAATAACTCTCCCAAATAATCAACAGATATTGCTAGTGTGCTGCTATAGACTGCCTAGTGGGAAGGATGTTGAAGCTGCATCTGCACTGAGAGAGCTTTTTGAGGGCCTCCCAAAAGGTGAAATAGTTTTAGTGGGTGATCTAAATTGGAATTGGCTAAACCCGCCGGCCGTGGCCACAAATTTTACAGATTAATTTAACCTGTTTTAATTAATAAATGTCCCCACAAGACCCAACCTAAAAAAATCCGGGACAGTCAACTCTGCTTGACGTCCTATTGACAAATGCCCCTCACAATTTCGCACTGACTGGTGTTCTGGGAAATAACCTTAGTGATCACTTCTTCATTTATGGGGTGAGATCATCAGACAGACCCAAAGCCCTCCCTATATTGGTTGAGAAGCACTCTTTGAGGAACTTCAGCACTCAGGCATTTACTAATGATGTGCTTCACTCGGATATTGACAAGGTCTGTGATATTCCCAACCTGACTACGGCTTGGGAGACTTTCAGGTACACGTTTCTCCAAATGCTTAACAAACATGCTCCGTTGGTTAGATGTAAAACTAAAGGCAACTGCCCACCATGGTATGATCCTTTGATTACAAAGCTCATGAAAACTAGGGACAAGGCTTGGGCATGTGCTCAGAAAAGCAATTTGGTAAATGACTGGCTAGAGTACAGGATTTTAAGGAATAGATGCGTCAAAAAGATACGGCATGCAAAAAATGCCTACTTTTCCTCTACTCTCCTGGAATCACATGGAAATGCCAGGATTTTTTGGAAAACAATCAAATGTATCGAAAATGCCCGTTGAGCTAAACCGAAATGGGGAATATTTTTCAGATCCCAAAAATATAGTTGACAATTTCAACCTTCATTTTTCTGAAGCTGGTAATCTTTTTGATAATGTATTGGGAAGTCATCCCTGCTCATACAAATGCCTACACCCCTGTCCAAACATTAAACGAATTTAGTTTCCAGCCAATCCACGAAAGTAATGTTCTGAAACAGCTCTCCTACCTCAAAGGGTCCTCTACCGGAGCAGATAGTTTTCCCGTCTTTGCTCTAGTAACGGTTGGTCACATAATATACAAAACTATAGCCCATACTTTCAACCTGTCCATCAAAGAAGCATCAGTTCCTCTAGAATGGAAACATTCCTATGTCCGTCCACTTCACAAAGGGGGCCCTAAAGATGATCCCAATAACTACCGACCTATCTCAATTTTGTCCCCTTTGATGAAAATTTTTGAAAAATTATTGAACTACCAAATTAGCAGTTTCCTGTCCACCAACAATCTACTACATCTAAAACAATCTGGGTTCCAAAAAAAATACAGCACCACATCTGCTGCATTAGACTCTCTGAATCAAATTTACAGTAGCCTTGATAATAAGCAGTACTGTGCCTGTCTTTTTCTTGACCTGTCCAAAGCTTTTGATACAGTAGACCACAACACCCTGCTTAGTAAACTAAGTTGCCTCGGTTTTTCCAAAAACGCAGTAAAATGGTTAAAAAATTACCTCTTTTCTCGCACCCAAACTGTATTCACAGATGGTTGGAGGTCAAACAGTGTTAAGATAACAAAAGGGGTTCCACAGGGTTCCATCCTCAGCCCCCTCTTGTTCTCTCTTTATGTCAATGACTTGGGCACTGACCTGGATCATTCCAGGGTAAATCTTTTTGCAGATGACACGATACTGATTACTGCTGGCCACTCTCCAGATGACGTGATTGCTAAGCTCCAGGGTGATTTCAACAAACTACAACATCAGCTAGTTGCTCTTAAACTAGTCCTAAATACCTCCAAAACCAAGGTGCTATGCTTCTCACCGGGACTAAAGCAGGAAGTTTTTTTTTTCCAAAATTACATTCCTTAAATAATGATCAAATAGAGAAAGTCAAGATCTATAAGTATCTTGGGGTCATCCTGAATTCAAACTGAATTTTGAAGATCACATTGATTATATTGGTAAAAAGACAAAAATAAAAATTAGTTTTCTGTATCGACACAATCACTGCTTCCCCCCAATGTTCCGTTTGGAATTGATAAAAGCTACCATACTGCCTCTACTTGACTCCTGTGACATCGTGTATAAATCAGCCCCAAGTACTGTACTGAAGAAGCTTGATTCCATCTATCACTCGGCCTTAAGATTTACATTGAACTGCCCATATAGGACTCACCACTGTGATCTCTACATTGGGTCAAACTTAACATCTCTTAATATTCGACGGCTTGTGCACCAGATCTTATTTATTCACGATGTACTTACAAAAAAATCCACAGACTACCTGCTGGATCTCCTCTCTGTTTCAAAGAACAAATTTGACCTCAGGTCTTCGCTCATTTATCAGCTTCACATTCCCTATTGCCGTACAAAAACCGGAGGAAGGGCCTTTGCTATGGATGCCCCCAGAGTCTGGAATGATATTGCCAATAAACTGCAACTGGAATCACTACCTATGAGATCTTCACTCAAAACTGCTCTAGAGGAGTTGTACACCCCCAGCTGCCACTGCTATTCAGTGGCCTAAAATAAAATAAAATGTTTCGCTCCGGATGACCGCTGCAAAGTATTATCTGTATTTTGATTTAGTGTGCTGATCTTAAAGGTGCATTGAAAAATGTGATACTCCGACTGATGCTCCTGTTGTTTGTGGAGTGACTCATGCAGCCAGCTGTGGCTCTAGGGTTTGGTGTTACATGTTATTTATGACGTTTATTGTTAAAAATTCGGTGACAGTTCCTATGATCACTGTTACATTGCATTTATGGCTTTATTTTGGTGATTTCTAAAAGTTTTTTGGTTTGGCCATGTTTTTGTTTATTGTAGTACAGAGTTAGACTGATGGCCTTAATCTAAGTTTTCTTGTTGTTGTTTGACTTGCATTCCACTGGGATTTTTGCACATAGCGTTGGTGCACGGTGCTATTTCAGGAATATTTTGATGTTTTTTCCTGGATTTTCTGTTTGCACAGTCAACACAAAGTAACTTTAAGATGTTTTTTCTTGTTCATGTTTTTGTTTTTTTGTTAGTTGCGGTTGCACCCGATTCAAGAGCCAAATGGCTCACAGGGCTACACCAAATAAATGGAACTATGAAAACTATGTATAGTAGTGTATAGTGTACAGTAGTGTAGTGTACAGTAGTGTAGTGTATAGTAGTGTATAGTGTACAGTAGTGTAGTGTACAGTAGTGTATAGTAGTGTAGTGTATAGTAGTGTATAGTGTACAGTAGTGTAGTGTACAGTAGTGTATAGTAGTGTAGTGTATAGTAGTGTATAGTGTACAGTAGTGTACAGTAGTGTAGTGTACAGTAGTGTATAGCAGTGTAGCGTATAGTGTAGTGTATAGTAGTGTAGTGTTTAGTAGTGTATATTAGTGAATAGTGTATAGTGTAGTGTATAGTAGTGTAGTGTATAGTAGTGTAGTGTATAGTAGTGTATAGTGTACAGTAGTGTAGTGTATAGTAGTGTAGTGTATAGTATCGTAGTGTATAGTAGTGTAGTGTGTTGTAGTGTAGTGTTTAGTAGTGTAGTGTATAATAGTGTGTAGTAGTGTAGTGTATAGTAGTGTAGTGTGTAGTAGTGTAGTGTAAAGTAGATGACTGCTGTCTTTAGAACTGCTGCTTCCTGTTGTATATCTCTCTCTGTGTATCTCTCTCTGTGTATCTCTCTCTGTGTATCTCTCTCTGTGTGTCTCTCTCTCTGTTTCTCTCTGTGTCTCTCTCTCTGTGTCTCTCTCTGTGTATCTCTCTCTGTGTCTCTCTCTGTGTATCTCTCTCTGCGTATCTCTCTGTGTGTCTCTGTGTATCTCTCTCTGTGTCTCTCTCTGTGTGTATATCTGTGTCTCTCTGTGTCTCTCTCTGTGTATCTCTCTCTGTGTATCTCTCTGTGTATCTCTCTCTGTGTCTCTCTGTGTATCTCTCTCTGCGTATCTCTCTCTGTGTGTCTCTGTGTATCTCTCTCTGTCTCTCTCTCTCTGTGTATATCTGTGTCTCTCTGTGTCTCTCTCTGTGTATCTCTCTCTGTGTCTCTGTCTGTGTATCTCTCTGTGTGTATCTCTCTCTGTGTGTATCTGTGTGTATCTCTGTGTATTTCTCTGTGTATATCTCTCTCTGTGTGTATCTCTCTGTGTGTATCTCTCTCTGTGTATCTCTCTGTGTATCTCTCTGTGTCTCTCTCTGTGTATCTCTCTCTGCGTATCTCTCTGTGTGTCTCTGTGTATCTCTCTCTGTGTCTCTCTCTGTGTGTATATCTGTGTCTCTCTGTGTCTCTCTCTGTGTATCTCTCTCTGTGTCTCTCTCTGTGTGTATATCTGTGTCTCTCTGTGTCTCTCTCTGTGTATCTCTCTCTGTATCTCTCTCTGTGTGTATATCTGTGTCTCTCTGTGTCTCTGTCTGTGTCTCTCTCTGTGTATCTCTCTCTGTGTGTATCTGTGTGTGTATCTCTGTGTATTTCTCTGTGTATATCTCTCTCTCTGTGTATCTCTCTGTGTATCTCTCTGTGTGTATCTCTGTCTATCTCTCTCTCTGTGTATCTCTCTCTGTGCATCTCCCCCACAGACAGACAAAACAACAACAACCGCCACCACCACCACCACCACCACCCTAACCCCTTCGCCACGATGCCCGGGCTACTGCCCCACCCTGGCGGGACCGCCACCGCCACGCCGCCGCCGCCCCCACCGCTGTCCCACCGCTCCTCCTGCCCGCGCACGAGGAGGTTGCGGATCCCGCGGCGGTCCGAGAGGAGCGCCGCCTCTGCCGTGCTGGGGGCGCTGAGCGTGGTGACGCTCAGCACGGCGCTCGCTGAGCCCGCCTGGCTGCGGCTCCACGGAGGAGCCTGCCCCAGGGCCTCGCTGGGGCTCACGGACGCGCTGGGACACGTGGACAGTGGTGAGGAGTGGTGGGGGTGGTGGTGAGGAGTGGTGGGGGTGGTGGTGAGGAGTGTGGGGGTGGTGAGGAGTGTAGGGGTGAGTGTGGTGGTGAGTGTGGTGGTGGTGGGGGTGGTGGTGGTGAGGAGTGCGGTGAGTGTGATGGTGAGTGGGGTGGTGGTGAGGAGTGTGGGGGTGGTGAGGAGTGTGGGGGTGGTGAGGAGTGTGGGGGTGGTGGTGAGGAGTGTGGGGGTGGTGAGGAGTGTGGGGGTGGTGAGGAGTGTGGGGGTGGTGGTGAGGAGTGTGGGGGTGAGTGTGGGGGTGAGTGTGATGGTGAGTGTGGTGGTGGTGGTGGTGAGGAGTGTAGGGGTGAGTGTGGTGGTGAGTGTGGTGGTGGTGGTGGTGAGGAGTGCGGTGAGTGTGATGGTGAGTGTGGTGGTGGTGGGGTGGTGGTGAGGAGTGGAGTGAGTGTGGTGGCGAGTGCAGTGGTGGTGGTGGTGAGTGTGGGGGTGGTAGTGGTGAGTGTGGTAGGCGTGAGTGTGGTAGGGGTGAGCGTGGTAGGGGTGAGTGTGGTAGTGGTGAGTGTGGTAGTGGTGAGTGTGGTAGTGGTGAGTGTGGTAGGGGTGAGTGTGGTAGGGGTGAGCGTGGTAGGGGTGAGTGTATTAGGGGTGAGCGTGGTAGGGGTGAGTGTGGTAGGGGTGAGTGTGGTAGGGGTGAGTGTGGTAGTGGTGAGTGTGGTAGGGGTGAGTGTGGTAGTGGTGAGTGTGGTAGGGGTGAGTGTAGTAGGGGTGAGCGTGGTAGGGGTGAGTGTGGTAGTGGTGAGTGTGGTAGTGGTGAGTGTATTACAGGTGAGTGTGGTAGGGGTGAGTGTGGTAGTGGTGAGTGTGGTAGTGGTGAGTGTGGTAGTGGTGAGTGTATTACAGGTGAGTGTGGTAGGGGTGAGTGTGGTAGGGGTGAGTGTAGTAGGAGTGTATTACGGGTGAGTGTGGTAGGGGTTGGTGTGGTAGGGGGTGAGTGTGGTGGGGGTGAGTGTAGTAGGGGTGAGTGTAGTAGGGGTGAGTGTGGTAGTGGTGAGTGTGGTAGTGGTGAGTGTATTACAGGTGAGTGTGGTAGGGGTGAGTGTGGTATTGGTGAGTGTGGTAGTGGTGAGTGTGGTAGGGGTGAGTGTGGTAGGGGTGAGCGTGGTAGGGGTGAGTGTGGTAGGGGTGAGTGTGGTAGGGGTGAGTGTAGTAGTGGTGAGTGTGGTAGTGGTGAGTGTGGTAGTGGTGAGTGTGGTAGTGGTGAGTGTGGTAGTGGTGAGTGTGATAGGGGTGAGTGTGGTTGTGGTGAGTGTATTAGGGGTGAGTGTGGTAGGGGTGAGTGTGGTAGGGGTGAGCGTGGTAGGGGTGAGTGTGGTAGGGGTGAGTGTAGGAGGGGTGAGTGTGGTAGGGGTCAGTGTGGTAGGGGTGAGTGTGGTAGGGGTGAGCGTGGTAGTGGTGAGTGTGGTAGGGGTTAGTGTGGTAGGGGTGAGTGTGGTAGTGGTGAGTGTGGTAGGGGTGAGTGTGGTAGGGGTGAGCGTGGTAGTGGTGAGTGTGGTAGGGGTGAGTGTGGTAGGGGTGAGTGTGGTAGGGGTGAGTGTGGTAGGGGTGAGTGTGGTAGGGTTGAGTGTAGTAGGGGTGAGTGTGGTAGGGGTGAGTGTAGTAGGGGTGAGTGTGGTAGTGGTGAGTGTGGTAGGGGTGAGTGTGGTAGGGTTGAGTGTAGTAGGGGTGAGTGTGGTAGGGGTGAGCGTGGTAGGGGTGAGCGTGGTGGGGGTGAGTGTGGTAGGGGTGAGCGTGGTAGTGGTGAGCGTGGTAGGGGTGAGTGTGGTAGGGGTGAGCATGGTAGTGGTGAGCGTGGTAGGGGTGAGCGTGGTAGGGGTGAGCGTGGTGGGGGTGAGTGTGGTAGGGGTGAGTGTGGTAGGGGTGAGCGTGGTAGGGGTGAGCGTGGTGGGGGTGAGTGTATTAGGGGTGAGCGTGGTAGTGGTGAGCGTGGTAGGGGTGAGCGTGGTAGGGGTGAGTGTGGTAGGGGTGAGCGTGGTAGGGGTGAGTGTGGTAGGGGTGAGTGTGGTAGGGGTGAGTGTGGTAGGGGTGAGTGTGGTAGTGGTGAGTGTGGTAGTGGTGAGTGTGGTGGGGGTGAGTGTAGTAGGGGTGAGTGTGGTAGTGGTGAGTGTATTAGGGGTGAGTGTGGTAGGGGTGAGTGTGGTAGTGGTGAGTGTATTAGTGGTGAGTGTGGTAGGGGTGAGTGTGGTAGGGGTGAGTGTATTAGTGGTGAGTGTGGTAGGGGTGAGTGTGGTAGGGGTGAGTGTGGTAGGGGTGAGTGTAGTAGGGGTGAGTGTGGTAGGGGTGAGCGTGGTAGGGGTGAGTGTGGTAGGGGTGAGTGTGGTAGTGGTGAGTGTAGTAGTGGTGAGTGTGGTAGGGGTGAGTGTGGTAGGGGTGAGTGTGGTAGGGGTCAGTGTGGTAGGGGTGAGTGTGGTAGGGGTGAGTGTGGTAGTGGTGAGTGTGGTAGGGGTGAGTGTGGTAGGGGTGAGCGTGGTAGGGGTGAGTGTGGTAGGGGTGAGTGTGGTAGGGGTGAGTGTATTAGGGGTGAGTGTGGTAGGGGTTGGTGTGGTAGGGGTGAGCGTGGTAGGGGTGAGCGTGGTAGGGGTGAGTGTAGTAGGGGTGAGTGTGGTAGGGGTGAGTGTAGTAGGGGTGAGTGTGGTAGGGGTGAGTGTAGTAGGGGTGAGTGTGGTAGGGTTGAATGTGGTAGGGGTGAGCGTGGTAGGGGTGAGTGTGGTAGGGGTGAGTGTATTAGGGGTGAGTGTGGTAGGGGTGAGCGTGGTAGGGGTGAGTGTGGTAGGGGTGAGTGTGGTAGTGGTGAGTGTGATAGGGGTGAGTGTGGTAGGGGTGAGTGTGGTAGGGGTGAGTGTGGTAGGGGTGAGTGTGGTAGTGGTGAGTGTGGTAGTGGTGAGCGTGGTAGTGGTGAGTGTGGTAGGGGTGAGCGTGGTAGGGGTGAGCGTGGTAGGGGTGAGCGTGGTAGTGGTGAGTGTGGTAGGGGTGAGTGTGGTAGTGGTGAGTGTGGTAGTGGTGAGTGTGGTAGGGGTGAGCGTGGTAGGGGTGAACGTTGTAGGGGTGAGCGTGGTAGGGGTGAGCGTGGTAGTGGTGAGTGTGGTAGGGGTGAGTGTGGTGGTGGTGAGTGTAGTAGGGGTGAGTGTGGTAGGGGTGAGTGTAGTAGGGGTGAGTGTGGTAGGGGTGAGGGTGGTAGTGGTGAGCGTGGTAGGGTGAGTGTGGTAGTGGTGAGTGTGGTAGTGGTGAGTGTGGTAGGGGTGAGCGTGGTAGGGGTGAGTGTGGTGGTGGTGAGAAGTGGGTGGTGGTTGTGACGGTGTCTCTCTCCCGCCCCCCGTGTCTCTGTCTGCGCAGCGCTCTCCGCGTGTCTGAGTCCTCAGATCTCCCTGCTGCTGAGGGTGGTCGCCGCCTTCCTGCTGCTGGGCGTCGCCTGCAGTCTGGGCGCGTTCCTCCTGGACGTGCTGGGATCGACGCAGCCGGCGCTCCGACTCACGCGCAGATACGCCTTCCTGCACATCCTCACCGGTGAGGAGACCGCTCACCACCACCACCCTCACCACCACTACCATCATCACCACTACCATCATCACCGCCACGCTCACCACCACTACCATCATCACCACTACCATCATCAACGCCACGCTCACCACCGCCACGCTCACCACCACTACCATCACCATCGCCACCCTCACCACCGCCACCCTCACCACCACTACCATCATCAACGCCACGCTCACCACCGCCACCCTCACCACCACTACCCTCACCACCGCCACCATCACCACCGCCACTACCATCACCACCACTACCATTATCACCACTACCATCATCACCACCACGCTCACCACCACTACCATCATCACCACCACTACCATCATCACCACCACTACCATCATCACCACCACTACCATCATCACCACCACTACCATCATCAACGCCACCCTCACCACCACTACCATCACCACCGCCACCCTCACCACCACTACCATCATCAACGCCACCCTCACCACCACTACCATCACGCACCGCCACGCTCACCACCACTACCATCACCACCGCCACGGTCACCACCACTACCATCACCACCGCCACGCTCACCACCGCCACCCTCACCACCACTACCATCACCACCGCCACCCTCACCACCACTACCATCACCACCGCCACGCTCACCACCGCCACCCTCACCACCACTACCATCACCACCGCCACGGTCACCACCACTACCATCATCACCGCCACGGTCACCACCACGGTCACCACCACTACCATCACCACCGCCACCCTCACCACCACTACCATCATCACCGCCACGCTCACCACAGCCACCCTCACCACCACTACCATCATCACCGCCACGCTCACCACCACTACCATCACCACCGCCACGCTCACCACCACTACCATCACCACCGCCACCCTCACCACCACTACTATCATCACCACTACCATCATCACCGCCACGCTCACCACCACTACCATCACCACCGCCACCCTCACCACCACTACCATCACCACCGCCACGCTCACCACCACTACCATCATCACCACCACTACCATCATCACCGCCACGCTCACCACCACTACCATCATCACCGCCACCCTCACCACCACTACCATCATCACCGCCACCCTCACCACCACTACCATCATCACCGCCACGCTCACCACCACTACCATCACCACCGCCACGCTCACCACCACTACCATCATCACCGCCACCCTCACCACCACTACCATCATCACCGCCACGCTCACCACCACTACCATCACCACCGCCACGCTCACCACCACTACCATCACCACCGCCACGCTCACCACCACTACCATCATCACCGCCACGCTCACCACCACTACCATCACGCACCGCCACGCTCACCACCACTACCATCATCACCGCCACGCTCACCACCACTACCATCATCACCGCCACGCTCACCACCATTACCATCATCAACGCCACGCTCACCACCGCCACCCTCACCACCACTACCATCGTCACCACTACCATCACCACCGCCACGCTCACCACCGTCACGCTCACCACCACTACCATCATCACCGTCACCCTCACCACGGCCACACTGGGTGTATATCACTGTGTGTGTCTCACTGTGTGTGTATCACTGTGTGTGTCTCACTGTGTGTGTCTCACTGTGTGTGTCTCACTGTGTGTGTCTCACTGTGTGTCTCTCTGTGTGTGTCTCTCTGTGTGTGTCTCACTGTGTGTGTCTCACTGTGTGTGTCTCACTGTGTGTGTCTCACTGTGTGTGTCTCACTGTGTGTCTCACTGTGTGTGTCACACTGTGTGTGTCTCACTGTGTGTGTCTCACTGTGTGTCTCACTGTGTGTGTCTCACTGTGTGTGTCACACTCTGTGTGTCTCACTCTGTGTGTCTCACTGTGTGTGTCTCACTGTGTGTCTCACTGTGTGTGTCACACTGTGTGTGTCTCACTGTGTGTCTCTCTGTGTGTGTCTCACTGTGTGTGTCTCACTGTGTGTGTCACTGTGTGTGTCACTGTGTGTGTGTGTGTCTCACTGTGTGTTTCTCACTGTGTGTGTCTCACTGTGTGTGTCTCACTGTGTGTGTGTCACTGTGTGTGTCTCACTATGTGTGTCTCACTGCGTGTGTCTCACTGTGTGTGTGTGTCACTGTGTGTGTCTCTCTGTGTGTGTCTCTCTGTGTGTGTCTCACTGTGTGTGTCTCACTGTGTGTGTGTGTCACTGGGTGTGTGTCACTGGGTGTGTCTCACTGTGTGTGTCTCACTGTGTGTTTGTGTGTCTCACTGTGTGTGTCTCACTGTGTGTGTGTGTGTCACTGGGTGTGTCTCACTGTGTGTGTCTCACTGTGTTTGTGTGTCTCACTGTGTGTGTCACTGTGTGTGTCTCTCTGTGTGTGTCTAACTGTGTGTGTGTCACTGTGTGTGTGTCTCACTGTGTGTGTCTCACTGTGTGTCTCACTGTGTGTGTCTCTCTGCATGTGTGACACACTGTGTGTGTCTCTCTGTGTGCGTCTCACTGTGTGTGTCTGTGTGTGTCTCACTGTGTGTCTCACTGTGTGTGTTTCACTCTGTGTGTCTCACTATGTGTGTGTCTCACTGTATGTGTGTCACTGTGTGTGTCTCTCTGTGTGTGTCTCACTGTGTGTGTCTCTCTGTGTGTGTCTCACTGTGTGTGTGTCACTGTGTGTGTCTCACTGTGTGTGTCACTGTGTGTGTGTGTCACTGTGTGTGTCACTGTGTGTGTCTCACTGTGTGTGTCTCACTGTGTGTGTCTCACTGTGTGTGTCTCACTGTGTGTGTCTCACTGTGTGTGTGTCTCACTGTGTGTGTCTCACTGTGTGTGTCACTGTGTGTGTCTCACTGTGTGTGTGTCTCACTGTGTGTGTCTCTCTGTGTGTGTCTCACTGTGTGTGTCACTGTGTGTGTGTGTCTCACTGTGTGTGTGTGTGTCTCACTGTGTGTGTGTCTCACTGTGTGTGTCTCACTGCGTGTGTCTCTCTGTGTGTGTCTCACTGTGTGTGTGTCTCACTGTGTGTGTGTCTCACTGTGTGTGTGTCTCACTGTGTGTGTCTCACTGTGTGTCACTCTGTGTGTGTCTCTCTGTGTGTGTCACACTGTGTGTGTCTCACTGTGTGTGTCTCACTCTGTGTGTCTCACTGTGTGTGTCTCACTGTGTGTCTCTCTGTGTGTGTCTCACTGTGTGTGTGTCTCACTGTGTGTATGTCTCACTGTGTGTGTGTCACTGTGTGTGTCTCTCTGTGTGTGTCTCTCTGTGTGTGTCTCACTGTGTGTGTCTCACTGTGTGTGTGTGTCACTGGGTGTGTCTCACTGTGTGTGTCTCACTGTGTGTGTGTGTCACTGGGTGTGTCTCACTGTGTGTGTCTCACTCTGTGTGTCTCACTGTGTGTGTCACACTGTGTGTGTCTCACTGTGTGTGTCTCACTGTGTGTCTCACTGTGTGTGTCTCACTGTGTGTGTCACACTCTGTGTGTCTCACTCTGTGTGTCTCACTGTGTGTGTCTCACTGTGTGTCTCACTGTGTGTGTCACACTGTGTGTGTCTCACTATGTGTCTCTCTGTGTGTCTCTCTGTGTGTGTCTCACTGTGTGTGTCTCACTGTGTGTGTCTCTCTGTGTGTGTCTCACTGTGTGTGTCACTGTGTGTGTCACTGTGTGTGTGTGTGTCTCACTGTGTGTGTCTCACTCTGTGTGTCTCACTGTGTGTGTCTCACTGTGTGTGTGTCACTGTGTGTGTCTCACTATGTGTGTCTCACTCCGTGTGTCTCACTGTGTGTGTGTCACTGTGTGTGTCTCACTGTGTGTGTGTCTCACTGTGTGTATGTCTCACTGTGTGTGTCTCACTGTGTGTGTCTCTCTGTGTGTGTCTCTCTGTGTGTGTCTCACTGTGTGTGTCTCACTGTGTGTGTGTGTCACTGGGTGTGTCTCACTGTGTGTGTCTCACTGTGTGTGTGTGTCACTGGGTGTGTCTCACTGTGTGTGTCTCACTGTGTGTTTGTGTGTCTCACTGTGTGTGTCTCACTGTGTGTGTGTGTCACTGGGTGTGTCTCACTGTGTGTGTCTCACTGTGTTTGTGTGTCTCACTGTGTGTGTGTGTCACTGTGTGTGTCTCTCTGTGTGTGTCTAACTGTGTGTGTGTCACTGTGTGTGTCTCACTGTGTGTGTCTCTCTGCGTGTGTGACACACTGTGTGTGTCTCTTTGTGTGTGTCTCACTGTGTGTGTCTGTGTGTGTCTCACTGTGTGTCTCACTGTGTGTGTTTCACTCTGTATGTCTCACTATGTGTGTGTGTCTCACTGTGTGTGTGTCACTGTGTGTGTCTCTCTGTGTGTGTCTCACTGTGTGTGTCTCTCTGTGTGTGTCTCACTGTGTGTGTGTCACTGTGTGTGTCTCACTGTGTGTGTCTCACTGTGTGTGTCACTGTGTGTGTGTCTCACTGTGTGTGTCTCACTGTGTGTGTCTCACTGTGTGTGTCTCACTGTGTGTGTGTCACTGTGTGTGTCTCACTGTGTGTGTCTCACTATGTGTGTGTCACTGTGTGTGTCTCTCTGTGTGTGTCTCACTGTGTGTGTGTCTCACTGTGTGTGTCTCACTGTGTGTGTCTCACTGTGTGTGTGTCTCACTGTGTATCTCACTGTGTGTGTGTCTCACTGTGTGTGTCTCACTGCGTGTGTGTCTCACTGTGTGTGTCACTGTGTGTGTCTCACTGTGTGTGTGTCTCACTGTGTGTGTCTCTCTGTGTGTGTCTCACTGTGTGTGTCACTGTGTGTGTGTGTGTCTCACTGTGTGTGTGTGTGTCTCACTGTGTGTGTGTCTCACTGTGTGTGTGTCTCACTGTGTGTGTCTCACTGCGTGTGTCTCTCTGTGTGTGTCTCACTGTGTGTGTGTCTCACTGTGTGTGTGTCTCACTGTGTGTGTCTCACTGTGTGTGTCTCACTGTGTGTGTCTCACTGTGTGTGTCTCCCTGTGTGTGTCTCTCTGTGTGTGTCTCTCTGTGTGGGTCTCACTGTGTGTGTCTCACTGTCTGTGTCTCACTGTGTGTATCACTGTGTGTGTGTCTCACTGTGTGTGTCTCACTGTGTGTGTGTCTCACTGTGTGTGTCTCACTGTGTGTGTCTCACTGTGTGTGTGTCTCACTGTGTGTGTCTCACTGTGTGTGTCTCACTGTGTGTGTGTCTCACTGTGTGTGTCTCACTGTGTGTGTGTGTCTCTCTGTGTGTGTCTCTCTGTGTGTGTCTCACTGTGTATGGCTCACTGTGTGTATCTCACTGCGTGTGTCTCTGTGTGTGTGTGGCACTGTGTGTGTGTCTCACTGTGTGTGTCTCACTGTGTGTGTGTGTGTCTCACTGTGTGTGTCTCACTGTGTGTGTGTCTCACTGTGTGTGTCTCACTGTGTGTATCACTGTGTGTCTCACTGTGTGTCTCACTGTGTGTGTCTCACTGTCTGTGTCTCACTGTGTGTGTGTGTCACTGTGTGTGTGTGTTTCTCACTGTGTGTGTCTCACTGTTTAACTCGTGGTGGTTTCGTGGTAATTAATTGAAGGTGGAGGGGTTACCAGCCCCTCGCACCCGTCCAGAGCCCCCGTTTAGCCCCTGTGGTGGACACAGACGCCATGAGGGGAGGAGCCAATCAAAATTGGATCTCCCCCCACAGCACTGTCCACGACAGAGTTGCCCGTCCGGCACGGCGAGGAGGTAGGGGGTTGTTTTGCCGGAGGCTGCTAGATTTTTGTGCAGCCCATGGGCTTGTAATTACCAACACGCTGTTCCGGCATCGGCGCATCCACACAACATCATGGATGCATGCCGGGTCCAAGCAAGAACATCTGCTGGACTACATAGTGACGGACCAGCGGATGCGAGCCCATGTTCTTGACACCAGGACCTACCGTGGAGCTGATCTGCCCTCTGACCATCGACTAGTCATCTGTAAGATGCGCCTGCCATTCTTCCACTCCGGTGGTGGGTGTACACCCAGGACCCCATTCCGACCTAAAGTGGCCTGGTCTCAGTTATCTGATGAAAGTTGCAAGCGAGAATTTCATTATCGCTTGCGGCTGGGATTGGCATCGTCCCCGACTCCTGATGTCAAGGGTAAATGGGCGAGGTTTAGGACTGTGACTCATGCAGCTGCAATGGCTGCTTTGGGTACGCGGTCCAGACCTCCCCAGAGACCCTGGCTGACAGAGGAGGTGTTCAGGATGTTTGAGAAAAAGCGACAGGCCCACTGTCATCGGCTACAGAATCCCACGTCAGAGAATGAGGAGGCTTACCGCAGCCTTCGCTCGGAGGTTCGGAGAGCCGTGAGGCGCTGCAAGGATGGGTGGTGGTTGCGGGTTGCTGAGGAGATGGAGTCTGCCTCAGTGGCCCGTGATCACAAATCTCTATTTAACTCCATCAATAAAGTAACCTGCAGCGCCACACCTATTACCATCATTAGGGGAAAAAACGATGATCCAATCTCCGACCCCCAGGAACAGGTTTGCAGATTTGCTGAGCATTTCAGTGAGGTTCTGGGGGAGGGAAAATCCCTCAGCCAGGAAAACATAGTGGCACAAAGTGAGGATGACCCTGCTGAGGCTGCGGTGCCTCAAATATTGGAAGAAGTGACCCCCTGTGAGTGGCTGGCTGAGGTGCCATCTGTTGAGGAAGTACTGAAGGCGATCCGGAGTCTGAGACCAGGAAAGGCAGCGGTCAGAGATGATCTCCCAAGCGAAATGCTGAGGGAGGGTGGCGTTTGTGCACAGACTGCCCTATATGACATCATAACAACGGTCTGGACCACTGGACGGGTTCCGCAGGATTGGAAGGATGCCCTGGTGGTCCCCCTCTTTAAGAAGGGGGACCGCACAGACTGTAACAACTACAGGGGCATCTCACTCCTCAGTGTGCCGGGAAAGGTCCTGGCAAGGATTTTTCAGCATCGCCTTGCCAGGCACGCTGAGGAGAGGCTTGCGGAGCCCCAATGCGGTTTCAGGAAAGGGCGGTCCTGCACAGATGCCATATTTTCTGTCCGTCTGCCACAGCAGAGGTGTAGGGAATTCCAACAAGACCTACATCTCTGCTTTATTGACCTGGTCAAGGCCTATGATACCATCAGTAGGCCTGGGCTCTGGGTCGTTCTTCGTGCTTTTGGAGTACCTGACCCTCTGCTCACGATCATTAAGGACCTTCATGATGGTGAGCGGGCCCGGGTAAAACTACGTGGCCGGGAGTCAGAGCCATTCTCTGTACACCTTGGGGTGCGACAGGGATGTCCTCTGGCTCCAACATTATTTAACATCTATTTTGACCACGTAGTTCGTGAAGCCTTCAATAGCTGTACCGGGGGAATCTCCATATGGTACAGATATAATGGGAGGCTGATCGATGCCCGGGTGCGGTCAAGGGATGGCTCCCTATTGCTCAACCACGTTATGTATGCTGATGATTTGGTAATAGCTGCTCAGTCAGAGGAGGAGTTGGAGACGCTGCTGCTGAGACTGGAGCGTGCCACTAAGAGGTGGGGCCTTACCATCAGCCCCACCAAAACTAAGCACCTGCCTGGGTATTTTGTACCATCGGACACTCCACCCCCACAACTCCCAATCGGTGATGGGGAAGTTGTGGAGAGAGTGGAGAGTTTCCCATACCTGGGCAGTGTGCTTATGACTGGCTCCAGTTTAACAGCAGAGGTCTCACTCCGAATCAGTCGAGCGGCAATATCTTTTCATCGGTTGCGTAACGGTGTGTGGAAGCTACCTGGTCTGTCGCTCCGCACTAAGCTTCAGGTCTTCTCGGCCACGGGTCATTCCCTCCCTTCTCTACGCTTGCAAAACGTGGACCCCCCTAATGGAACATCTTCGCCGGTTAGAAACATTTAGGCTGGCCTGCCTACGATCCATCCGGGGTTTAACCAGGCTGGATTGTGTGAGCTCACAAATCCTTGAAAGATCTGGACAAGGTCTCATCGGTGAGCTCCTCCGGCGGGCAAGGCTGCGATGGCTGGGTCATGTAGCCCGCATGCCCAGCCACCGCATGCCGAAACAGCTTTTGTTCGGCCGGATTGAGGGGGCTAAGCGGGCGCGGCACGGGCTAGAGAAGAGATGCAGTGATGTGGTACAGGAGGACCTGGAGCTGAGTGGACTAGCCGATGACTGGTACCAGCGGTGTCAAGATCAGCCTCTGTGGAGGAGGCTCGTGAAGGACTCTACTGGGCAGTTGGAGGTAGTCGCCCTCCAACAACAACAGAGGGCGGAGGAGCGACGCTCAGAAAAACGAGCGGAGCGCCGGGTGGCTAAAGCACAGCAGGTTGGCACGGTAGGGGGCACAGGTGGTGCATCAGCCAGTCATCTCAGTCAGTCGACCCGTGGCACCTGGGTCTGCCCCGTGACCTCCTGCCAGCGGGCGTTCGACACTTCACGTGGCCTCAGGGTGCACATAGCCTGGCACAAGCGTCGTGGTGACGTCACCGCCACTTAGTGGCGAATGGCGGTTGTTGTTGTGTGTATGTGTGTGTGTCTGTGTGTGTGTCTCTGTGTGTGTGTCTCACTGTGTGTGTCTCACTGTGTGTGTCTCTCTGTGTGTGTGGCACAGTGTGTGTGTCTCTCAGTGTGTGTGTGTGTGTGTGTCTCACTGTGTGTGTCTCACTGTGTGTGTGTGTCTCACTGTGTTTGTGTCTCACTGTGTGTGTGTGTCACTGTGTGTGTCTCTCTGTGTGTGTGGCACAGTGCTTCACTGTGCCACTGCTGTGGGCTTCTCCTACTGGGCCTCCGAGTTGCTCTTTGACCTCCAGCTCAGCCACAAACTCCACCACGGGAGCCAGGTGACAACATCAACAACATCAACAACAACATCAACAACAACATCAACAACATCACCAGCATCACTAGCATCTCTACCATCACTATCTAAACCACCACCATCACCACCGCCATCTCTACCATCATCACCATCGACCCCTGTCCCTCTCCCCGTGTCTCTCTCCCCGTGTCCCTCCCCCCGTGTCTCTCTCCCCGTGTCCCTCTCCCCGTGTCTCTCTACCCGTGTCTCTCTCCCCGTGTCCCTCTCCCCGTGTCTCTCTACCCGTGTCTCTCTCCCCGTGTCTCTCTCCCCGTCTCTCTCTCCCCGTCTCTCTCTCTCCGTGTCTCTCTACCTGTCTCTCTCTCTCTCTCCGTGTCTCTCTCCCCATGTCTCTCTCCCCATGTCTCTCTCCCTGTGTCTCTCCCCGTGTCCCTCTCCCCGCGTCTCTCTCCCCGTGTCTCTCTCCCCGTGTCTCTCTCCCTGTGGCTCTCCACGTGTCCCTCTCCCCGCGTCTCTCTCCCCGTGTTCCTCTCCCCGTGTCTCTCTCTCCCCGTGTCTCTCTCTTTCCCTGTGTCTCTCTCTTTCCCTGTGTCTCTCTCTCGCCGTGTCTCTCTACCCGTGTCTCTCTCCCCATGTCCCTCTCCCCGTGTCTCTCTCCCCATGTCCCTCTCCCCGTGTCTCTCTCTCCCCGTCTCTCTCCCCGTGTCTCTCCCCGTGTCTCTCTCTCTCTGTGTCCCTCTCCCCGTGTCTCTCTCCCCGTGTCTCTCTCCCCGTGTCCCTCCCCCGTGTCTCTCCCCGTGTCTCTCTCCCCGTGTCTCTCTCCCCACATCTCTCTCCTCGTGTCTCTCTCCCCGTGTCTCTCACCCCGTGTCTCTCTCTCCCCGTCTCTCTCCCCGTGTCTCTCCCCGTGTCTCTCTCACCGTGTCCCTCTCCCCGTGTCTCTCTCCCCGTGTCTCTCTCCCCGTGTCTCTCTCCCCGTGTCTCTCTCCCCGTGTCTCTCTCCCCGTGTCTCTCTCCCCGTGTCTCTCTCTCCCCGTGTCTCTCTCCCCGTGTCTCTCTCTTCGTGTCTCTCTCCCCGTGTCTCTCTCCCTGTGTCTCTCTCCCCGTGTCCCTCTCCCCGTGTCCCTCTCCCCGTGTCCCTCTCCCCGTGTCTCTCTCCCCGTGTCTCTCTCCCCGTGTCTCTCTCCCCGTGTCTCTCTCCCCGTCTCTCTCTCCCCGTGTCTCTCTACCCGTGTTCCTCTCCCCGTGTCTCTCCCCGTGTCTCTCCCCGTGTGTCTCTCCCCGTGTGTCTCTCCCCGTGTCTCTCTCCCCGTGTCTCTCTCCCCGTGTCTCTCTCCCCGTGTCTCTCTCCCCGTGTCCCTCTTCCCGTGTCTCTCTCTCCCCATGTCTCTCTCTCCCCGTGTCTCTCTCTCCCCGTGTCTCTCTCTCCCCGTGTCTCTCTATCCATGTCTCTCTCCCCGTGTCCCTCTCCCCGTGTCTCTCTCCCCGTGTCTCTCTCCCCGTGTCTCTCTCTCGCCGTGTCTCTCTCTCCCCGTGTCTCTCTCCCCACATCTCTCTCCCCGTGTCCCTCTCCCCGTGTCCCTCTCCCCGTGTCTCTCCCCGTGTCTCTCTCTCCCCGTGTCTCTCTCTTTCCCTGTGTCTCTCTCTCGCCATGTCACTCTCCCCGTGCCTCTCTCCGTGTCCCTCTCCCCGTGTCCCTCTCCCCATCTCTCTCTCCGTGTCTCTCTCCCCGTGTCGCTCTCCCCGTGTCTCTCTCCCCGTGTCTCTCTCCCCGTGTCTCTCTCGCTGTATCTCTCTCTCCGTGTCTCTCTCCGTGTCTCTCCCTGTGTCTCTCTCCCCGTGTCTCTCTCCCCGTGTCTCTCTTCCCGTGTCTCCCCGTGTCCCTCTCTCCCCATGTCTCTCTCCCCGTGCCTCTCTCCCTGTCCCTCTCCCCGTGTCCCTCTCCCCGTCTCTCTCTCTCCGTGTCTGTCTCCCCGTGTCTCTCTCCCCGTGTCTCTCTCACCGTGTCTCTCTCCCCGTGTCTCTCTCCCCGTGTCTCTCTATCCGTGTCTCTCTCCCCGTGTCTCTCTCCCCGTGTCTCTCTCCCCGTGTCTCTCCCCGTGTCTCTCCCCGTGTGTCTCTCCCCGTCTCTCTCTCCCCGTGTCTCTCTCCCCGTGTCTCTCTCCCCGTGTCCCTCTTCCCGTGTCTCTCTCTCCCCATGTCTCTCTCTCCCCGTGTCTCTCTCTCCCCGTGTCTCTCTATCCGTTTCTCTCTCCCCGTGTCCCTCTCCCCGTGTCTCTCTCCCCGTGTCTCTCTCCCCGTGTCTCTCTCCCCGTGTCTCTCCCCCCGTGTCTCTCTCCCCGTATCTCCCCGTGTCTCTCTATCCGTGTCTCTCTCCCCGTGTCTCTCTCTCCCCGTGTCTCTATCCCCGTGTCTCTTTCCCCGTGTCTCTCTCCCCGTGTCCCTCTTCCCCTGTCTCTCTCTCCCCGTGTCTCTCTCCCTGTGTCTCTCTATCTGTGTCTCTCTCCCCGTGTCTCTCTCCCCGTGTCTCTCTCCTCGTGTCTCTCTCTCCCCGTGTCTCTCTCCCTGTATCTCCCTGTGTCTCTCTACCCGTGTCTCTCTCCCCGTGTCTCTCTCCCCGTGTCTCTCTCCTCGTGTCTCTCTCTCCCCGTGTCTCTCTCCCTGTATCTCCCCGTGTCTCTCTCCCCGTGTCTCTCTCCCCGTGTCTCTCTCCCCGTCTCTCTCCCCGTGTCTCTCTCCCTGTCTCTCTCCCCGTGTCTCTCTCCCCGTGTTTCTCTCCCCGTGTCTCTCTCTCCCCGTGTCTCTCACCGTGTCTCTCCCCGTGTCTCTCTCCCCGTGTCTCTCTCCCCGTGTCTCCCCGTGTCTCTCTTCCCGTGTCTCCCTGTCTCTCTCCCCGTGTCTCTCTCCCCGTGTCTCTCTCCCCGTGTCTCTCTCCCCGTGTCTCTCACCATGTCTCTCTCCCCGTGTCTCTCTCCCCGTGTCTCTCACCGTGTCTCTCCCCATGTCTCTCTCCCCGTGTCTCTCTCCCCGTGTCTCTCTCCCCGTGTCTCTCTCCCCGTGTCTCTCTCCCCGTCTCTCTCCCCGTGTCTCTATCCCCGTGTCTCTTTCCCCGTGTCTCTCTCCCCGTGTCCCTCTTCCCCTGTCTCTCTCTCCCCGTGTCTCTCTCCCTGTGTCTCTCTATCTGTGTCTCTCTCCCCGTGTCTCTCTCCCCGTGTCTCTCTCCCCGTGTCTCTCTCCTCGTGTCTCTCTCTCCCCGTGTCTCTCTCCCTGTATCTCCCTGTGTCTCTCTATCCGTGTCTCTCTCCCCGTGTCTCTCTCCCCGTGTCTCTCTCCTCGTGTCTCTCTCTCCCCGTGTCTCTCTCCCTGTATCTCCCCGTGTCTCTCTCCCCGTGTCTCTCTCCCCGTGTCTCTCTCCCCGTCTCTCTCCCCGTGTCTCTCTCCCTGTCTCTCTCCCCGTGTCTCTCTCCCCGTGTTTCTCTCCCCGTGTCTCTCTCTCCCCGTGTCTCTCACCGTGTCTCTCCCCGTGTCTCTCTCCCCGTGTCTCTCTCCCCGTGTCTCCCCGTGTCTCTCTTCCCGTGTCTCCCTGTCTCTCTCCCCGTGTCTCTCTCCCCGTGTCTCTCTCCCCGTGTCTCTCTCCCCGTGTCTCTCTCCCCGTGTCTCTCACCGTGTCTCTCCCCATGTCTCTCTCCCCGTGTCTCTCTCCCCGTGTCTCTCTCCCCGTGTCTCTCTCCCCGTGTCTCTCTCCCCGTCTCTCTCCCCGTGTCCCTCTCCCCGTGTCCCTCTCCCCGTGTCTCTCCCCGTGTCTCTCTCTCCCCGTGTCTCTCTCTTTCCCTGTGTCTCTCTCTCGCCATGTCACTCTCCCCGTGCCTCTCTCCCCCCGTGTCTCTCTCTCCCCGTGTCTCTCTATCCGTGTCTCTCTCCCCGTGTCCCTCTCCCCGTGTCTCTCTCCCCGTGTCTCTCTCCCCGTGTCTCTCTCTCGCCGTGTCTCTCTCTCCCCGTGTCTCTCTCCCCACATCTCTCTCCCCGTGTCCCTCTCCCCGTGTCCCTCTCCCCGTGTCTCTCCCCGTGTCTCTCTCTCCCCGTGTCTCTCTCTTTCCCTGTGTCTCTCTCTCGCCATGTCACTCTCCCCGTGCCTCTCTCCGTGTCCCTCTCCCCGTGTCCCTCTCCCCATCTCTCTCTCCGTGTCTCTCTCCCCGTGTCGCTCTCCCCGTGTCTCTCTCCCCGTGTCTCTCTCCCCGTGTCTCTCTCGCTGTATCTCTCTCTCCGTGTCTCTCTCCGTGTCTCTCCCTGTGTCTCTCTCCCCGTGTCTCTCTCCCCGTGTCTCTCTTCCCGTGTCTCCCCGTGTCCCTCTCTCCCCATGTCTCTCTCCCCGTGCCTCTCTCCCTGTCCCTCTCCCCGTGTCCCTCTCCCCGTCTCTCTCTCTCCGTGTCTGTCTCCCCGTGTCTCTCTCCCCGTGTCTCTCTCACCGTGTCTCTCTCCCCGTGTCTCTCTCCCCGTGTCTCTCTATCCGTGTCTCTCTCCCCGTGTCTCTCTCCCCGTGTCTCTCTCCCCGTGTCTCTCCCCGTGTCTCTCCCCGTGTGTCTCTCCCCGTCTCTCTCTCCCCGTGTCTCTCTCCCCGTGTCTCTCTCCCCGTGTCTCTCTTCCCGTGTCTCTCTCTCCCCATGTCTCTCTCTCCCCGTGTCTCTCTCTCCCCGTGTCTCTCTATCCGTTTCTCTCTCCCCGTGTCCCTCTCCCCGTGTCTCTCTCCCCGTGTCTCTCTCCCCGTGTCTCTCTCCCCGTGTCTCTCCCCCCGTGTCTCTCTCCCCGTATCTCCCCGTGTCTCTCTATCCGTGTCTCTCTCCCCGTGTCTCTCTCTCCCCGTGTCTCTATCCCCGTGTCTCTTTCCCCGTGTCTCTCTCCCCGTGTCCCTCTTCCCCTGTCTCTCTCTCCCCGTGTCTCTCTCCCTGTGTCTCTCTATCTGTGTCTCTCTCCCCGTGTCTCTCTCCCCGTGTCTCTCTCCTCGTGTCTCTCTCTCCCCGTGTC